GATCTAATATACAGTGGTACCTCAGGTTACGAACGCCCCAGCATACGAAATTTTCAGGATACGACATGAAATTCGAACATATTTTTGCTCCACGATACGAACAAAAACTCACCATACGACGTTACATTAGTTCGCATTTTTCATTTGTTTTCCTTACTACAGTTATTTTTTTAATGTATTACTTGGCTTTAATTTGAGTATGATTTTCGCGTTGGAACGAATTATTGGGTTTTACATGTAATCGTATGGGAAAAGATGATCCACCTTACGACATTTTCATGATACGATCTCAGTTTCGGAACGGATTAATTTCGTATCCTGAGGTACCACTGTATATTCCATATATTCTAATTACTGTATATCGAACTCGTTTATTTATTAAGTACTGTACGTCAGATAAATAATCTATTAAAAATACATTTAAAGAAAGACTTAACCGATTGCCCCTGGAAATCGGCTTCTTATAGAAACACAGCTCCCCTATCATCAAATGTCACGGCACGCCACTGTGACACATATACTGTATTGGTGATGTCGCTTTACCCGGACATTCCGGACCGCGACTCGCGTATTTGCGATTACGCTAGAGGGGATGGCGATGGAAACGAGTCGTAGTTTACTATTTCGCGGGTAACTCCGTAGACGGAAGTTTATACGAAAATATATTCTTTGAAATAATTACTGGCGTCGGACAATTAGGTTTAAATGCTTGTTAGCGTTACATCAGACACGGGATCGTCCGACAAAGCATTAACGGAAATAAGGGAACATGGCGGCGAAATAGTAAACTCCATAAAACATCCTTTAAATTCGGATAAAAAGATTTATCCGCTGGCGGATGTACCACATTTATTTAAAAATATAAAAAGTATGCAAATAACAAGTAAAATTATAAAAATATCGACCGATATAATATCGTCGCAGCGTATAAACGAATTGCTAGATCGACGGCAAAACTTAAATTTCAAACTAGCCCCTAAATTAACTCGTTGCCATCACATTTTCAAAAAATGAAAGTGAAAACAGATACATTTGTCATCAGTCGTGACACAAGCGGTGAATTAAGATTTTTTTCACAAGTTAATAAACCAGAATATTTAACAACCGCTCGGTTTATCGATGCCGTTGAAAAATGGCTTAAATTAGTAACATCGAGGCATCCACTTTTTGTTCTAAGTACGAATACGGTACAGAAGTATGAAGAATCGATAACATTTTTTAAAAATTTTATTGAGATGTTTAAAACTACGAAGGTAGCAGTGGCGTGCCGTCACATTTGACCGTAGAACAACCGTGTTTCCGTAATACCCCGTTCGCACCGAGCATTTCCATCTAGATTGTGGCTAAGGTCGGAGACTGTTCCGCGGTGCCAACGCTCTCGACCGTTTCAATCTCGACTGGAGAGAGTTCTCGAAACTAGATCCAGTCATAAGAGAGATCCCACAATCCCACGCGCGCGAGAAAATACAAGATGGCTGCGGAACACGCGTCGGGCTATCGACAGAGAAATAAAAAAGACACCCGGAGAGACGACCACATCTGTCTATTATTAGATGTATGGCAAGAAAAAGTATTTATTTCTAACCAAAACTTTTATTTTGTTTGTTGGTGTTTGCCACTTACCGCGTAGTTACGTCAGTTTTATCATCGCGTGTAATAGCCAGGTTCTTCTCGAGCGGCCTGCCTGCGCGAACGGCACGACGTTCGACTAGCGACAGTCACAATTAGTGATGCCACGAATAGTGATTTTGCCGAATACCGAATACCGAACATTCGGCTACGCTCTTGGCCGAAGCGCCGAATATTCGGCAGCCGAATGTTCGGCAAAATATGTGTACATTTCGCGGGTGATATATTACGACCTGATACATTGCGGTGGGTGCGGTAGCGACACTGCGGGCACATTTGTTTTATTTGCGAGTAGATCATGTCACAACATGCATTATTTGTTCATTGTTACATCAAATTGCGTTACTAATTATTACTAAAAAATATCACTGTATCACTTTATATGAAAACTGTTCGCCTAGATCGGACGGCAGACCTTTACAAGCGGTGGTCAGCAAACGCAAAACAGTATCCAAGCCTGACAGAATTCGCTAAGATTTATCTATCGTCTCCCGGCAGTAGTGTATATAGTGAGAAGCTATTTTCAGAAGCAGGTATAGTTTATGAGGAAAAGCGCAATCGTTTGCTATCAACAAATGCTGAAAAAATTGTTTTCATTCATTACAACTTACCACTGATAGATTTTAAGTATTAAATGTAATAATTTATGATTAAAATAAATACGTTTTTGAGTAATATGTGCGGTTTTTTTTCATGATTTGGTATTCGGTATTCGGCCGAATGTTGCATACTATTCGGCCGAATACCGAATATTAAAAAAAGTAGCCGAATAGGCCGAATACCGAATAGTAGCCGAATATTCGTGGCATCACTAGTCACAATCCAGATTGTAGGTAAATCCAGATCGAAGTGAGTCGTGGATTGTGTGCGAACGTAGTATTACGGACTGGTCAACGCCACTGCCCCGAGACCACCTTCGATCGACGATCAAAGAACCGTATCGACGCCCGGGACATCCGATTGTCCTAAAGTAAACTATTTTGTACACATTGTAAGTTTATTTTAAGCTAAAATATACGGTTTTTCTTATATACTCGTCGTCTTTGTTTCTTCCGCCGCCACCCACAAACGAATGGGTCCTAGACCATCGCTGACGCATAATTAATAGTGATGTAACGAATATTCGGTTACTATTCGGTATTCGGCAGAATACCGAATACCTAAAAACGGGAGTAAGAAGTAACGAAAACACAGTAAACTAATCATTTTGGTATTTAGATTTAATGTTATCGGGTTAGTGTTGTTTGTTTATATTTATTTATAACTTATACCACGCACAAAATAAAAAAGAAAATAATATTAGTCACACGTTATTCGACGTCGTCGGTCAAAACTCGTCTGGTGAACCGCTTCTTTTAGTTGATAAAATATTTCGTACAGCCTAAATTCTTTAGCGCAGCGGTCGGCAACCTCACAATTTTCAATCCCGCGGACCATTATCACGAATTTTTTTAAACCACGCAAAATCTGTACGGTAATGATGGCGAAAGTTCAATTTTACTATATTAATACGAAACTCGCGTGTTTAATTATAACAAATTAATGCCAGCCGATTGTTTCGAAACGAGTTTATTCTTCGCGCTCTTCCACCGAGGACGACGATATCGCTTATTGTTCATTATTTATCGATAACGGTCGCTTCGTTTTTGGTTTTAGATTCGAATAAAAAACCCCAACGAGTGAAAAAGCAACTAAGCCCTTTGCATTTCTTTCGTAATACTTTCGTAATACGATTATAAACATCGATCAACCGAAGGTTACCTTCGGAAATTTAAACATCGATCAACCGAAGGTTACCTTCGGTTGATCGATGTTTAAATTTCACCACGGACCACCGGTTGCCGACCGTTGATTTTAGTGTAGGATTTTAGTGTTAGAAGTAAATGTAATACGTGTCGTATTGGAAGGGTCCGAGGATTGTAAAAATGCCCGTTAATGGCTTCCGACGTAACTTGGCCATCGTAAACTAGAAAAGATTTCCAGAAGCGTGTTTACGGCGAGAAAATATCAACTTTTAAGTGGCCTTATATTTTATTTCATTAGCGATTCTGCCTTATAATCGTACGAGGTAGAGCATTCCGTTCTAAACGTTATCGTATTTTCTACCGAGAAACCATTCGTTTCTAAGTAAAGTGTCTATCTAAAAATTTCATTTTAAACTGCTCTATACGCTTGTACTGTACTGGCTGCCAGGATGATGCGAGTCGAACCGTTTTCGTCGACGGCGGGAATCCGGTCTTAAGAATAGAAACTGGAAAAAGCCGGCAAAAAACCGGTCGTAAGGTACTACAATTAATCTCGGCGATGACGTACGAAGAAGTGGGAGCGGTGCGCGTATTTTTGTCGAAAGGGGCTCCGTCCACCGCCAACAAAAATTTGTTTTTACCGCGACACGTCGCAAGTTTAGGAGCATCTTCCCCGTGCCTATTACGAATTTTTGATCGTTTGTAGGAGTTACGTCCATTCGGAAACTGGCGTAGCGCGATATCCCCATGCGCTTTTTATCGTCGATTTTATTCGAACAAAAATATAAAGTAAAAAGTTTAAGGCCAGCTTCTAAACGAAAAAAATACATCTCAAATTATCAACGATGCGTTGAATTTCTCAACTGTTATAATTAAATGCGGCATTTTGTTAAGTAAGGTCACCGTTAAAAACTTTCCATTCCGGCTAATAAACGCTTTAATCGCTAAGCGTGGGGTCCGAGAAAAGTGTGGAAGACACGAAATCTTAGGGGAATCCAGACGAAAAAGGAACTTACCGCAATTTTTATTTTATTATACGGTATTTACGAATTGTAGACTATTTATTGTTTCTATATTTTAATTTATTGTCGGCATTTAATTCTGTTATTTTTACCTTAAAATACGTGTATTTACCGTTTTAAGTTTGTCGAAATGGGTATCGTTTGGGGTACGGAAGTGGCTTTCTGTTATTTTTAACGGAGAAAACTCATTCGGAGTTCGAACAGCCTCCCGAAACCAATTAAATTCGAAGTACGAGGCACCGCGGTATGGTAGCCATCGCCACACTATATACAATGCGGTAACTTACGAACCGCTCCGCCGATACGAGAAATTTTGTTGTAGCTTGCGATTCGAGGTGTTTGCTAATAGGGGTCCGGCGGACAGATTTTTTCTAAACAACTTTTACCGGCAAAGTTCCGTAACCGGACGGCCGGGCCGAGAGGCGGCGACCGAGCGGGACGACCTCGGTGTCTTTTTACAACTAGAAATACGGTAAACACCGCGTAAACCGAAATGGCGCGGTACCCGATGCTTTTTTCCGGTTGGCGGATTTCGTTGGGTGCCGAATAACGTTTCCGTTTTACCGTAATAAGCGCGGTGGCGAGAAGAGAAAGGAAGACTCACGCCAGAGAGATGACGATGAAGTCCAACCAGTTCCAGGGATCCCGTAAATAAGTGAACTGCTCGAGAATGAATCCTCTGGCCGTGGCTTTGATGCAAGATTCTATCGTGTAGATGGCCGTAAAAGCTTTCCTGTAAAGAAACCGGGATGTAATTGAGGTAGCGAAGAAAATGCCGTTTCGCGGTGGTAAAACTTCCTCGGGAAGAGGCTTTTTTGCCTCCGGAAGCCGAAGAATAAATGAATCTTTCGAGCCAGTCCGATTTTTCGTTACTATCCCGCGACACCCGACGGCTCGGCCAAAATAAATCGGACGTTTCAAATAGAAACTTTACGCTCTCGTAAGTCGATCCAAGTCCAAATATTTGCGTAACTTTTCCGGCTCTTACGACATAATACCGTAATAAACGTGTGTGGCGCCATCCGTTACGACATTTTATTATTAAAACTTTATATAATACTATTACGAAACGGCAAAAAGCTTAATTTCGAAAGTAGTTTGGTCAAACATTGGAAATGCCGAAGACCGGTGAAATGCTTAAATCCCATCCTTCCGCAGATACGACGCGTGACCGTGTTTATTTTTAACCACCATTATTTAATAGCATCTACGTCTTTTATATTCCAGCTATTGTGCCAAGTTCGGCTTCTTACACCCGAATTCGCAAACGTCTGGAAGATACGTCGCAGTATCGACAAACTAACAATACTTGATATTTCGCATTGGCAAAAGGCAGAAAAAATTGGTAACGAGAGTGTGTCGTCGGTGACAATAGAAAGACGTTTCTTTCGGACGTGGTAATTAATTAATCTATAGTCTGGGCAAAGGTAGCATTTTATTTCTTTCCAACTAAAATACATAGGAATTGGTTACTTTTACATTATTTATATATATAATGGGAACGAAATCTACCCAAAATTGACACCGGTAGTTATATTAATAGAAATATTCGACAAGTTTGAAATCAATGGACAAACTAATAGTTTTTTGGCGTTAAATTATAACGAATATGATTTTTCGGACCATATTCTATCAATTTTTTCGTCGTTCGATAACAAAAGTTTAAAAGAAATCGATTATTTACGTATAGAAGCAAATACTCGACCACCGGTACCTCGACTTACCGTAGTAGTTACCAGACTTTTTTCGATACGCTTCGCCAATACGAGCCCCGGGCCTTAATCGCTACTTGGTTCCGAGAAGACGGCTCCGGGGGACCCGGCGTATCCACAAATTTCGGATTGTTAAATTTGGCACCGCTCCCATACCTGACCACCCGGCCGCTCCGTGGCGGGCTTGGCTAACGGAAGTCGTCTTAGCGCCCGCGGGCCGGAAAGTTAAGAAACCCGTTTCCAGGTATTAAACGAAATAGACGCATCCGTGGAAATTTTTTACCGTTTTGGGTTGGGGGAGATTTACAGAAATCTCGGAAGGTCGGATTCGCCACGATTCCGATACGTAACAATGTGGAAAAGTAAAATTAAATGTCTCTTTACCACGAAAATATTACGTACGTTTGGCACTAATGTTTCCAATTTGTTTCCGTAGAGGGAGCCGAAAGAAGCGCGCGCTACGCTCCCGCCACTTATAGATATAAAACCAGACGCTAAATTGTAGCGGTGGCCGATAAGCCAACGGTCGAATACTAAAAAGTATTGGAGATATCGAATATAAGGTCGATAAAGAATAGATTCTAATATTACCAACGGCGCCGTAAGTACTAGCGGCTTCGGTCTCAAACTGGAATATTTTAGCACCGTAATTTAGGACAAAGTGTTCTATTAGAGGAACTTGTTATTTGGGACGCCCTTCTATCCAGTATTTACGTTTGCCAGCGTGACGCTTAAGTAGCCATTACCTTAAAAAGGTTGCGGCCCAAGTTTTAAACGCCAACGTCGGACGTTCCCGTAAACCTAGAAGTTTGACGACGACGTTCGGACAGTCGGTGGAACGACGCTCGAACTCCAAACGCCATTCTCAGACTTCTAGGCTCACGTTTAAAACTTGGGCCTCGACCCGGCTTTTAATTTCTCCACCGCCGATTTTTAAGAAAAAAAAAAGCCCTACTAAATTCTGCGCGCGCCGACGTTTATTTTTCACGGTAGGATTATCCGTAAGAACCGAAGAAATAAAAAGTTCGGAAACTCGGCGGGTTTATACGGGGTGCGTGTTATTCTACATATATTGTATGTATTAATAGCGCGTGGGTACTATTAAATTTCTGTGTTAATAAAAATTTTACCGGTTATTGGCATTGGCAATTTTAAAAAATCGTTTCTGTCCCCCAAATTAAGGTTTGCGCCTTTTTATAATAATAAAAAAAGCGACTATTATTTTTTAGATAAAATCTGGTAACAGATGGCGCCACAGATAACCGGTTTAATTTGAAAACAAAGAGAAATTTCTTATAATTGGATGAAATCGTTTCTTTTTTTCGTTATCATTTACATTTTATACGCGGGTATAATTGGAATTGCTGGCGGATGCCCGTAACCTCCCGTCGGATTGGCTTTTCTAAAAGTATTTCTTAAAGCCATTCATCGAAATTTGTCCAATCCGGTAGAATGCCGTTCCGTTATCATCGAACGAAGCAAAAGGCGAAGGTTACGACGGACAATTTCTAAACTTTAAACTGGAATAATTCTTAGACTACGTAATTTCCCAGCCAGCCAACGTCGGTCCGCACGTTCTATAAAGTTATTTGCTTTTGTGGGTTGGGTCGGGAGGACCGAGTCACCCTTTTCCCATTACCGGCGCCACGCGCGTAATGGCGGACGAGTAATTACACGATTTGCGTGGATATATTTTTATTTCGTTTTTCAATTTTGAAAAGTTTTACAAATATATTAGGCTATAGCGTCGGGTCTCCCGCCAATTTTACCGTTATAATCTGCGGATTTTTTACTCCGTTTGGCCGCCGTTACCGCGGCAACGGACGACGGCGAAATGACGTCACTTTGGCCGTGGAAGCCGACTGAATACGACAGAGGTTGCGGCCGAACTTCCAACGTTACTCGTACGCGGTTTACGTTTTACCTCCGAGAAAAAATCGTCGCGGCGCACGCTGCCAACATCACGTGACTCGGCCAACGTGGCGCATCGGCTGACGGGAAATTTGTCGAAACAATGGCGGATACATTTAACGCGGAGGGTTACCGGCCGAGGTAAATAAACAAATGAAACTATTTTAAAGTATTTATAGCGTGTTTAATACCACTAATTACTTTTAATTAGCGCGGTATCTCCTACCGTACGATCGGACCACGTGGTACCTTTGTCGACGGTAGAAAATGCCGCGGAAGAACAAACCTACCTTAAGATAAGCTATTAGGAAGGCAGATATATGTAAATTCTATGGGCACTCGGCATCACTGGCCAAAACTTTGAATAATTAAATGATTTCTGGATTAAAACCGTCCGTTTCTTTACAATATTATTCGAAAATGCTTAAATAACGATTATTTTAATAAAATAGGTGATAATTTTAACTGCAAACGCAAAAAATGAAGTTTAAGCCCATCTCGCCGCGCTAGACGTAGCCACCGCCATTACCACCTTCTGGAATTAGCAGATGGCGGCGCTGGACCGTCAGCCCTTGGCTACGGCCGCAACCTCCCTACCATGTGGAAAACTTTCGACTTTTGCCGCGGAGGAAAGAGGAACGGCATAAAGTAGACCGATAGGAGGGCGTTTAGCGACGCGGTGGTAAAGATCACGCCGGACGATAGCGTTCGAACTACGGCGGTGGGCCAGCTAAAAAGCTTTATTTGTACACTAATACGCTATATTACAATCCGATTTAAATAGAGAGGTGGCGGCCGTCGTATTCGGCCCAAAACGTCAACGGCAATTCCGGACGGTCGATAATGGCGGTGGCTGCGTCTAGCGCGGCGAGATGGGCTTAAACTTCATTTTTTTGCGTTTGCAGTTAAAATTATCACCTATTTTATTAAAATAATCGTTATTTAAGCATTTTCGAATAATATTGTAAAGAAACGCCCATAGAATTTGCCCATAGAATTTACATATATCTGCCTTCCTAATAGCTTATCTTAAGGTAGGTTTGTTCTTCCGCGGCATTTTCTACCGTCGACAAAGGTACCACGTGGTCCGATCGTACGGTAGGAGATACCGCGCTAATTAAAAGTAATTAGTGGTATTAAACACGCTATAAATACTTTAAAATAGTTTCATTTGTTTATTTACCTCGGCCGGTAACCCTCCGCGTTAAATGTATCCGCCATTGTTTCGACAAATTTCCCGCAGTCGACGATTTTTTCTGGTACGGCCGCAACCTGTGTAATATTAAAGTGAAATAGACGTAAAGTATTGGGAATGGAGTAATGGTGGTTCGGTATTGGATATGGCTAACTTTCGACCATTTACAATACTTTTCCTATCCGAATTGGTTTTTGAGGTTTTTCGTTTGCCGTAGGATGGAAGGCAAACTTAAAGAGTTTAATCCGGGTAGACGCCATTTTCGACTACCGGCAGTCGCTGGTTTATATTTACGGCGCCTGGCGATTGTAGGGTAATTTCCGCCCGCCAGTACCGGGCTTAACTAACTGGCCGGTAACGGCGACGGAAATTAATTACAAAGCGGAGTCTTTAAAGAAAATACCGAAAAGCGGAACGTTCCCCGATTTCCCCGCAAAACGTTCAGCAATTACAGTAAAAGATGGATTTTAGGCCAAAATATAAAAACTGTTAAATCTTGGGAATATTAGTCGGCGTAGGCCAATTTATCGGGAAATATCCCCGTTGGTTCTTAAGACTCCGACTGGGGGCATAATTTACCATCTGCCACTTATCTCTGCCTGGGCGGAAAGCGCTTATTTCTATGGGCGGAGCGTGCGGTACACGAGTGTATGGAACGAAATTATTGGGCTCTGCCGGAGGACGAGGCGCGTCGAATGGAAAGCGCATTCCGCCCGACCCTGGCAATAATATTGTCTTCCGCCACAATCCCGTGCATCTGAGTGCATTTGCGGACGTTACGTCTGGGAGTCCTAAGGAGGGAAGCGCAAAGACGAGAATTTCGACGTACCCGCAAAGGAAACTCCGAGATTCTCTTACCACTGGTAAGAAACTGCTGCCGGTAACACCCGTTACGCAACGAGTGCTCCGACTCTTTTCCGCACGTAAATACTAGATTGGTCTCCACCAAATGCCGCGCAAACGATAAAATTACCGACGAATGGAAGGAAATAATTTTTAGAGAAAGGGAAGACGACGCGTGTAAGTTTGGCGGAGGGGAATAAACGGACGATTATTTAGAGCCCGCTTGGGTGATTTGATTAAAAAGTCAAGTTTCCGCCTTTAAACGGATAAAATAATTCCCCGGGTGATAATAATTAGACTTTTTTCTCCTTTTACGTTAACTTACGCCATTGTTAAGGTTTTCCTTCTTCCTTTTGCGTCACAGAAATAGTATAAAATAACCGACGGGAGGAAAGACCGACAAATTAAAAGTTATATTCGGGCACGTCCAAATCGGTTTCGTCGTGCCACCTGTGAAAATTTTCTGAAATTTGCACGGTTAAGATGTTACCGGTTATTAGCATTTACCGTGTTTTTTCTATAAAACTCGTCCCTATCCCGGAAATTAAGCCTTTTGCCATTTGATAACGATTAAAAATAAGAAAATCTGCCGAAGGATGGCGCCACGCGGAATTTTATTTCTGATTAATTAATAATATAAAAGTTATTTTTTTAAATAACGGCTCTTAACGGCCGGGAAAGTTACGCAACCGGGGCACCGAACCGGGCCGATATTTGTATTTGCCAGTTAAAGTTTACCTGGTAAAATTTTTCGTACCGGGTAAGGCAGGAAAACCGCCGTTTCCAGCCTTTCCCTTTATTTGCGCCGAAAATATTTACGGAAGAATGGCGCGCGTTTATTCCGGGCCATTTGCCGAGATAAAAGGACCAAGAACGGATGGAAATTGAATGAAAATTAGAAAGAAGAGAGAGACTCACTCCAGTTCCTTTTCGTACTTGACGTCGGTTTGCGTCATGAGGACGCAGTTGACCAGAATAGTGACGATGACCAAGAAGCTGAAGGCAGGATGAACCAGGACGCCGATGGCCGCCCGACGGATGGGATTGAAGGGACCCAGGATCCACATGGCTTTGGTGGCGCTGAACCGGAAGATGTCTTTGCCCTTACTTATCACCACGAACGTCTGAAAAAGACAGCGACCCGCCGTTACTCCGCTTTTCCTTCTCGATTCCGCCCAATTTCCCACCGGTGGGTCCGGGGCACGACGGAAGAAGAGAAGCTCCAGACCGGGTCGGTAAAGGAGAATTCCGTCGCCCGTCTTTTAAACAGGGTGCCGCTTAAGGGCCGTTTCGCGCTACGACCGACTCCGAGTCGCGTGGCCACGACAACGGCAGTCGGAAAGATTTAAAAAGTTAAATATTTGTAGTCGAGTCGGAACAGTCGATGAGCTACAGCTAATGAGAGCTCGGAAACTACAACCAATCACACTTTGTATAACATATGTATGAAAACTATCCAATCGATAAAACATAACTCTATATATACTTGTAATTTATTAAAATTGTTCCTTGTACCTTATTTCTTTCATAACTGCTTAAATTATATATGGGAACAGATATGACTTTATTATATATACAGTCGTTTATCCGAAAAAATTCCAGTCGTCAAATTTAAATTTTCGCCAGTGCTGTGGCGCTGCAATCTTTGGCTATATCTTGGGCTACTCCAATATATTTTTGTTGATGCGTGTTTTTAGCTGGCAGCACCGGCACTTTTCTGTGGTGTTTTTCTCAGGACTGTGTCACGCTAAATCGAACGTTTTCGATACTACATTAACTTGTAAAGTATCATTTTTTTGTTTTTATATTTTTCAATATATTTATTTTGTTTGTAAAAAATAAAGAAATAATTTTTAACGATACAATAGCCACGATTATTATTTTAAAAAGTTTACGTTAGGCTAAACATGGACGAAAATTCAACGCCAAGCGACAGGCAAGAAAGAAAAATTTCAACACGGAATAGGTTAATGTATTTTTTCGTACATAATCGGTTATCCGAACTCCAGTCCCCAATTGATTCGAATAAACGACGCTCTACTATATTAAAATCATTACGGACGTAACGAAAAAAGATGGGAATATTTAGACTTCTTGGGAGAATTTATAACAGCCGATGTGAATGCTTCTATTACTAATCGGTCGGTCGTAGTGCGAAACAGTTGTAAGGGGAAAGGGGACGATGGCCAATAATCGAATTTCGCAGCGCCCTTCCCTTAATTAATTAAATGAAATAAAAATAAAGCCAGCTTCGGACGGCGGCGCGGTGGGCCCCCGAGACATTTAATAGACTTTTAACGGATTACGCGGTGGCCCACAACCCGCCTCGGAGTCCGTAAAACTTTGCCGTTGTTAAAAGTTAAGCGTAATTGGAAAAGAAGATGCGCCTCTTCGAATCTACCGTTAGTTACGGGAGGGTGGAAATAAAGGGTTTTCCGGGCCCTTCTCCCGCCCGGCCTACGGGTCGAACGTCGACACTCTGAACGTACGGAGCAAAAACAGAAAACGGCGCCCGAACCTTGGGCCACTCGGTCCGTCCCACGCCTAATTAGGGGCGGTTTCCGGAGGAAAGTCCCGTCTCCGGTTCAGTCCGGTTAAGAGAGAGTCGTCCGTCTACCGATTAAGACGGAACCGGTAACTTTTCCCATCAGGCCGCCTCCTCCTTTTTAAGGCGCCGTCTTTTTTAAAGTCCGTCGACGACCGGAATTGTTTCCGTTTCTGGCCGATAGGAAACAATAATTTACAGGCGCGCCATTCGGACGCCGTCTCTCGCCCGTAGACAGACAGTGGCATCTTCTTGGGCCTTTACATTTTTCCCTACCGAAAGTAAGGAACACCCGTCGATATTCGGCCGGCCGCCGGAAGAAAAGGGGTTAATTCCTTTCGACGGTCGTTCGATTAAGCGGATCGACGGGCGGAAACGGTTAAAATTGCTATTAAGAAGAAAAACGGGCGCCGATCGATAAACGATTAAAGGGGACGGCAAGAACGGCCGGAAGAAGCCCGTCGTCTTTCGTACTTCCGGCCGCCCTGGGCTTAGCTAAAGAGTAAACAACCGGACCGGAAGGAGGTGGCCCGGAAAACCGTCGGCAGCCGGAAAGGGAACTACCGCAGGGAGGAAAATACCCGAAATTACGGGTGCCGGATGGAAAATATCCCGGCAATACTTGGGAAATAAAACGGGCTCCGACGTCCCGGGCGGGATTTTCCCATAAATAGCGTAACCCCCGATATATTCCTTCCGCTTCCGGCGCCTGCCAGACCCGAACGGCTCCTAGACGGGAGGCAGGCCCGAGTCCCGGTGGCTTTTATCCGGGAAAAGTACTTTTACTTACGGGGGTGCCCGGGGCCGGCCTTTTTCCAAACCCGTCGATCGGTTCCGGGAAACGTCGGACGGATCGAAGGTTTTCCTGCGCCGGCGAGGAAAGTTGTCGGCCTGTTAAATGTGGCTTTTTATTCATTTAACAGAGAAACAAACAGTCGAGATTAATTTCATCCGATTTTCCCAAACGAAGTTCCTGGGGTCGAGTACGCCCAGAGAAATGCACATTTCCGGTCGAGCGCGGAGATTCGGACGGGCCTTATAACTCTTCCGCGGCCTCCATTAATCCAGGCCCGTGGGACCAAAATCCGCAATTCTCTCGCGGCACTTCCTCCCCGGAATGACGTCCGATTTTAAACTCGGACTTCCGGTACGAGTTTTGCCCATCGACCGGTCGTCCCGGGAGGCGGATCGATTTATCTTCGACCGCGCGCCGTCCCGTTTCTTTCCCATTTTAATTCTATTACGCCATCGGAGAGGGCGGCAGCGCGGCGCGTGCTTTTCTCGGCTTCCCCGCCGGCCCGGGGGACGGCCGGGCTTTCTTGCCGTAGACCGGAAAGAGCGGATCTTTTCTCCGACCCGATTCCGCCGCCGCCGGAAGCGCGGACGTCGACCGGAAAAGTGGTTAGGGACCGGAGCGGGCGGTTAGGACGTGGGGGCAGCGGTACTCACCCTTTGGTTCTCGTAGAACTTGTCGAGGTCCTCGATGGGGACAGCCAGTAGCTCGGGAGGAAACTCTCGCTCGTACTGCTTGGGGAGGGGTAGGCCGGCCTCCAGCACGGGATTGGGCTCCGTCACTTCCGGCTGGTAGGTGCCGTAGTGTTCGTCGTCGACGGAGCCGCCCTCCTCCTTCTTCTGGGCCTGCTCCTTCTTGCGCGCTTCGGCCTCGGCGATGCGGGCCTCGATGGCCGCCAGCGACTCCCTGGTGAAGGGACGGAACGACGGTATCGCCTCGTCCTCCGACTGCTCGTCCGAAGACATTTCCGCTCCCGCGTCCGTCTGGCTGTCTGTCGGCTCGCTGCCTCTTCTACCGCGAGGTGGACCGACGGCCGCCGGCCATTCCGATCTGTCCGAGAAAAAAACACACCAATTAGCTGTTTGCGTCATTTTCGGGCCCGAAACACGCCGACAACCGGGATGGACGGAGAGGAATCGCCCACCGAAATTTGGTCCGCCGGAACCGAGGACATTCCGGAAGTACACCGCCGCTGCCGGGTGACGTCGGAGGGATCCCTAGACCAACGGGCAGGGACGATCCTTTTCCTTTCCTCTTTCCGCAGGCCCGAAGTCTGTAACCGCGGGAAGCCCCGGCGAACGACGCCCGATAAAGGTGGAATGGACCTAGAGAAAGCGCGCGGCGCCCAAATAGGTAGGAGAAGAAAAGGGCCGTCTTTCGCCCGGGAAATTACGCACCGGCGGCTAAAAATACAATTGGCGTCGGGCGGGGAGGAATATTCCTGCAGGGAACGAGGGGAGAAAAGCGGCGAGAGAAAGAAAAAAGGGGTGGATCGTCCGGAGCAACGCGACGGAAGGTGGCAAAAAAGAGGCAGAAAGTAACCGGAGACGTCCGAACTTCCTCTCGGTAATCCGCCGGCTCAACGTTTACCGGGAAAAGCCCTAAAACGTGAACAAATTTAAAACGCGAGTTTTCGTTGGACGAGCCGTAAAAGTGTCGTCCCTTCCGACACCGCGGGGAAATAAATATCCCCGGCTTTTCGTACGGAGACGACGGAAAGGCTGCGACCGACGTGGGTAGTAAGGAAGTAAAAGGAAGTAAAAGTACTTAAACGCGGCCGTAATCCTAATTAACGGCGGTCTTTCGTCCCTACCAAAGAATACCCGTCAAAGTGATACATTTATAATTGCACAATTGAAATTCTGTTACACGTCACCCCGCACCTCGGCCATCTTTCCGGCTCAACTGTGGAAAAGTTGCCAAATTTTGCCGGAAGGTCTGCGGATGCTATTCGGTTTCGAGGGGGAGATAAACGCCGGACTTAATTACGTCTTTGTTTTATCCCGGGCGGCAACCGGCGCCTCTTAATAATTATTCCGACATTTTCAAATTTTGGATACTTTCGGTTCCGCAACCGTCGACCGACTTTTTCCCGGCCGGGCGGACCAACAATACACTTTGTAATCCGACCAGTCTCTTCCTCCTTCATTTAATTAATAGGATCGGGGACGCGGGGCCCTTCTTACTCGCGCCCTCTTCCTTCGCCGGGTGGCGGGGCGTGTCCCCCGACGCCCCGGCCCAACCGGCCGCCGGTCTCCGGGGACCGCCGTTTCCCGGAAGCCGAAGGCGCGGGCGGGGCGCTTCCGACGCCTCTCGGGGGACGTCCATTAGCCAGATTGAACCCGGTCGGACGCGCTCCGCCGCTCCCGACCCCGCCCGCCCGGGTCCGGCCGCTTCGTCTCCCGTCTTTCGGGGCGCGCCGCGGGAGGGCGTCGATTCCACCGGAAGTTCCGGGTCCGCTTCCCGCGCGCGCGCCGAAAGACTCGATTCCGTCCGAAAAGCCGGCGCCGCGCGCGGACGCATCCTTTCGTCGGGACGACGCTCCGGGTTTATTTTGCCATCGATCGATCGGGAGCGGACGGACGCGGGGATGGACGCCGCCGCCCTTTTCCCAGTCGTCGCTCCGGTGGTGGGGAATGGCCACCCTTCGGGCTCCGAGCATTCGGCCCGAAAGACCGGGAATCCGCCCTCCGGCGTCCCCTTTCCAACCGGAAGTCCGTCGGAGGCCGGACGGCCGGAAAAGAGCTCTTTTCCGGAAAATCGATGAGCGGAGGATTCTCCGTCGGTCGGCGTTGGCCGGCGGACGCGGTTCTGTCGTCGTCCGCGGAGGCGGACACGGAAAGCGGGCCGCCGACGTCCCCTTCCGCAGCCGGAGCGAGACCGGCGGCCCGAGGTCGTCGCCCCGCGGCGCCGACTCTCGGCCTTTGGAAGACGTCCAAAAGACGAAGGTCGCGCCGGGCCGACGACCGCGCGTCCTTCGCCGCTCCGCAAATTTCGTCGGAGAGCGTTTCGGAAGCCCGCCGTTTTCGGCGGGCGGGTGGGTGGGCCCGACGGGAAGGGCGGTCGCCGGTGCCGACGGAAAAGACGTTTGGCGTCGGCGCGCGTGCCGACCGTTCGCCATTTTGACGGCTATTTTTAGCCCCCAATCCCGGCCCCCGGCCGGCCAAGCCCCCTGGGAGCCCGCGGCCCGGCCCGAGGGAAGAAAGGAAGTAGTTAGACCGGTGGCCACCGTCCGGGGACGGAAGGGTAAACGAGCGTAGCGGGGGAGAGAGGCGAGGAGCGGCGGAGGGAAGAGACTGGGGGCGCCGAGGGAGGAGGGACCGGCCAAGCAGGGTAAGAGGGAAGAGACGCTCACCTTGTTCCGCGGATCTAAAGATTACGACGTCATTATCCGAGGCGACGGAAACTGTTTATTTGCGACGAAAACGGCGAAAAAATCGGTCAGACCAGATCCGCCATCTTTGACCGAAGGTTTTATCCGGCACTCTAGGCGGGTCGCTCTATCATTGGTTTGGCGTCGGAGCTAGCGCAGCCTCGCTCTCCGGCCGCCTCGGCCGGCCGACGGAATACCCGGTTACCACGGCAACCAGAAAACGCCGAAGACCCCGCCATCGATTTTTCCCACCATATTCCTCCGCCGCCGCCCTTCCCCCCCGACCGCCGTTCGTCCGTTCCCCTCCGCCGCCGGCTTCTGTCCCTTCCGTGTCGGTCCCGGACCCTTCTTCCTTCTTCTTCCGGAAACCGGCGAAGATGCCCGATGGAAAGTCATTTTTCCATCGGGCATTTTCGCCGCCGTCCGTTCGCACCTTTCCTTTCGCCGGGCCACCGACTCGAAACGGACGATTCCGGATTTTTCCTCCTCCTCCTCCTCCTCCGACGGAAGTCCGAACGGAAGACGAAGTGTCGCCATCTGGCGTGGCGGCGAAGAAACGAGAGGACCGCCCCCGTTCCAGCGGAGTAGGTGCGGGCCGGGCCTTCTACTGGAGGAGAAGCCGTGGGAGGCCGGAATTTTCCGCCTTTTCCCTCCAGGTTCCGACGGGCGACGTATCCCCCGGCCCCCGACCGTTTCTCGGGGGATGCGCTCCCCCCATGCCGGCCGAAAAGAGGACGGGGGCGAAGGAGCGAGCGCGAGCGCGGAAAGAAAGTTTCGCCGAGGAAATTTAACAGAAGCAGAATGGTTAAGTAAACGAGAGAGAAAGAAATCGATGGACGACGAGGCGGAAACAAAACGACGGTTGCCGGGACTGGTTGGCCAAGATATTTGCGGCCACGCGAGGAGAAAAGAAAGTTCGGTGGAGACGTCAATTTTCTAGGGTAATAGGGAAAACGGGCGTTAAGGCCAGGGAATTTCAAAAGACAATGCAGTTTTATAAAGATTTTATTATTATTTTAAAGGCCTAAATCTGTCAATTGTCTATAACTGCTACGCTACTATTTTTGTCCATCCGGGTGATATTTTATTTCGTTGTTACGTTACGACGGACGGCGTAAACTATTCGATTGGTACTAATATTCTCCGGTAAAAAGTTTTCCGTCGCGCTCGACGATGCAATTTCTAGTTTTTAAATAAAGCGTCCGGTTGCCGGGGCGTAACACCATGAAAAAGTAAGCGAAAGACAGAAGAAACATTCTCTATTTTTCCTAAAAGTAACTGCAGTTATAAACCCCGGGTTACGGGCAACGACGGGGGAGGGTGGCGGTAAAGCCCGCTTTTAAGGGCGGAGTCCAGGGTGCCGGGACTCCCCGAGAGCCGCAAATTCATATTTACGGAAGAATTAGGCCGTTATTAAAAGCGTAAAACCGTACGAGCAAAGAGTTACCGGCGGTGGCCTATCCAAAAACCGGGAAAGAGGCCGGGCGGGAGGAATCCCCTCGATAAATTACGGGTGGGCCCAGCCCGGAAAGGGTAAAGAGATGGGCGGGGTTTACGTTTCCCGGATAGGCCTATCCGACTACGGAGGAGGCCCGACGAATTTTTAATCTTACGCTAATTTTTACTTATCCCAGCCGTGGGTTAAATAAATAGAACAAGAATTAAGAAGCGCGCTACCGTTTTTATAATAAACAGAAATAAGAAGCGCTAACCCTCGGTAAAATTGGCGTTAACTTTTTTTGAAAGAAAACAAAATAGAAGATAGAAATGATTTTTTTTAATAAAAACGCCGGGCCAACCTTTAAACGATAGAAGAATACAAGCGCTTAGATCGACCGTGGCCGGTGGAGTATCTAATTGAACACGGATTTTGACTTCTCTAAGTCGAGACGGCGTTACGCGTAGTAACCAGCGATCGACCACTCGGAAAGCCGGAAGGAGGGAAAGACGCCGATGGAACGGACGAAAATTAATAAAAACCCGGAAATTGCGGGAGGCGACGGCTTCTTCTTCCGAAAGTTCCGAGGGTGGGGCCGACGGTGGGGCGTTTGTCTGGCGCCCGTCTTGGCCCCCGTCTCCCGACCCGGGACGGACGTCTTTCCGTCACCGGAAGTCGACCGCGCGGTTCCGGAGAGGCGGAGGGAACCGTGGTGGGCCGACCGGGGACCATCTGGGATAGGGGAGGAAGACCCGGAGGCCGCCGCCGACTTACAACTTGCCCAGACGGCGGAAATCTGGTAAGCTGCGTATCCGCGGCGCATTTCCGTCCCTAGTCGGCAACTTACCACGGCGCGTACCGGTAGGTTAGTCGGGCCGGCGATAAAACTTTAGAAATAACGGACCGGTTGCCATCGGACGGTGGTAGAAGCCAGGCCACCGGGCTACGTTTATTTCCAGTCGAAATTCGACCGAGTATCGGCGCGTTTAAAGTAGGCCGTTGGCCAAAATATCGGAAAGTGGCCGAAACGTTTATTCTACGGCTAATAATTGCGCAAAATAAGGAATGGAGGCCACGGCTTTTATACCGTTGGTGGTAAACGAAAGTGACCGCCTCTTATAAAAACCTTTTTACATTGACAATTAATAGCCCGAGTGCCCGGCTGGGCTGGGGGAGTCCGTACCACATTGCGCGGTAGTGGGAATGAAAGGATAGATTTAAAACGTAAGAGGTAAAAAATTTATCGAAAACGTAATGTAACTATTTACAATACTGGTTTATATTTTATTTTATTTATTTTTGTCAAAAGACACAGTGGCCAGGTTGCCTTTTACCAGCATCTTAACAGGAAATCAAAAGAAAGAAAGAAACAAAAAGAGGAGGCCAGCCGAGAAAGAAAATTAATTAACAACAAATGTGGTTGAGTCAAGTTTTTTTCCTTTTTTTTACATTCTTTCTAAAGATTTCGTAACTCGATATATTAGGTAGATCGTTGCACAGACTATTCCGATAGAAGATTAATCGAAAGATCGGTGCGGATCTGCCCACCTCTAGTTTAACAATTGGAAGACTGTATTGACGAATTATACGAGTATCTGGTGTCGATCCGCCACATTCACTTATACCAATTGCGAGGAAGCCATTTTCTTTTTTTCTCTTTATATATTTGAAGCCGTCCAATAGAATCTGTTTCTTGTCAATTTCGGTGCGGTAGAGTTCGGATACTGATTGCATAAAGTTTATAAAGATTTACGTCTTACGCCGGGACGGCCACGGCTAATTTAATCCGTTACGGTAACCGACCGAAACGGATTAAAATATATACTTTTATTCGACATTTGTTTTTATTGTTAAACGTACGTAGGGCGTGGCTCGGCCGAAAAGTAAGAAGGATAACAGTTAAAATGACAACGGTGACTTTAGTTTATCACGGAAGAGATCAAACGCGCGTTTTAAGCGGTGTTGGAGGAAACGTTTGGTCCGTCTTTGGCCAAATTTCGTCGCTCGGCGGGTTCATAGAGTTAACGTTAGAAAATATTCAATCGGCAAACTCTTTATACGCTTTCCGTCGCCATCTTTGCCACGTTATAGCGTTTGATTTATACGACTACAAAGGTTTATCGCGCGCGGTACCCGAACTAACGCATTTTAAAAATTCTGTACACGATTTAAAGAATCTTTTAAATGCCATCGGTCACTGGCAGTGATAAGCTCTTACGTAAGATAATCTTTATAAATATAAATTAAATACAATAATATAATATAATATAATGTAAGGGTGAGAGATACGAAAGAATATATTACATTACTTCGTACTTCTAATCTAAATCTTTAGTGTTGTTATTTTTTATCCGGGCAACGGTTTCTCGTCGGTTTCCTATTACGGTATATCTTATATTCTTATAATATAATCCAGATGGGTCGATGATAATAATAATAAAGATTCTCCGTGGCGGGCCCGGCCCAAAATTTTGTCGACACAGCTGCGTCGAACAACCGGTTAGCTAAGGAATGCCTCTTTGGAGAAACGGGAGGATTGGCCATTGCCGTACGGGATGGAGTGGTAAATGCTAAAAAGTAATGAAAACACATAGGCGAAGATAGGACAGTGGCAAATGAAACACGCGGAAAACGTCGCATCTTGCCGGAAACTATACAACGCGTCACTCCCGGTGGCGCGGGCAGATTATTTACGCGGACGTAATAAAGAGGCAAATATAATACACCGAGACCGGCAAAGAAACGCAAGTTATTAGACCCGCACAAATACATTCCACAAACGATATTGGAAAAAACACACGCAAAATGTACTGCGACAAAGCCGTAATCGCGAATAAAACAATTTACCGCAACAGACCGAACAACTCGACAAAATGACATACATTATAGACGTATCCATTCCAAACACTCGCCACGTAAAAACACATTGGCCCAAAAAATTAGCGCGTACTGTACGCGGAACTCGCCCGGGGAATAAGACGTCCGCGGCGGACGGATAGAGTGCTTATTGTACTGTACAGTACCCGTCGTTCTCTCCTCTACGGGTGCCCTACCACGCGCGGTACACGAAAGCCCGGGAACGTTATACGATCGAATAAAATCACTACAGAAGGCCGCTACGCGTCATGTTGTTAGGTAATTACCCAATACGGACGCGCACCGACACGCTTAGTTAATTTTTGTTTCGCTTCGATTACTACGCCGGACCAGAGTCTATATTGGGTTTTGTCAGTTATACCGGTCCCGCCGGTATAACCGACAAAACCCAACATAATAATAATAATAAGCGCGGAACCCAAACGGTTAGGAGTCGAAAGTGGAAATTTGGTAGAGTTAGGGTACGTCACAAAATGTACGCTAAGAAGGGACTTTTGGAAATTCGCCCGCAGGGAAGAGAGTTAAAAATTACCCGGAAGAACTGGGCTTCTCGGTACTATTTTAGACGCGGTGGTTGGCGTTTTTGTACCAAATGGAAGAAATTTTTAGACCCGTGTAAAAATTTTGTAATTAGCCCGGGAAGAGGAGGACCTAATTGTGGCCAACGACGAAAACGGGTAAAATCGGCTAGGCGAGATATCCTTTTTAGTTAGATAAACCAAATTCTACAATATACAGTATTACAATAGAAGGGTTAGAAGTAGGAAATTAGCTAATCCCAACGTTGGTTCTTATTTTTCGCCCGGGCCAGGCCGGGTTTACTGGTATGTCGATATAATAGAAAAGCCACCGGCGCGACAAACTAAGCAGTTCCGCGGGAACAGTTTCTATTCCGCAACCGGAACGGTATTTTTCTCACCTCTAATCCGAGTTCGAAC